ATCTGTGAGTTAGCCGTGCCCTGACTTAGATCAGCCCAGAGGTCGTTTCAGGGCTCAATGTGTGAGTTAGCCATATAGTACTATAAAATATTCCTCTTAATCCAAGCATAAAGAATGATATAATTATAAATATTAACTTCAAAATATTTGTATTTTAGGAACTGATTGAAGAACGTGAGCAGCTTCAGTTTAAGGTAAACCAGGTCCTACTTACTGGCCGTAAGATGGTGTTGGATAGAGTCCTTGAAGTTGATAAAGAATCTATCTTAATTGAAAAACTGGATACACTGGAACGCAGACTGAAGCTGCTGATGCTGTGGCCTATCAGGGATATTAGAAGGTGCGCATGTAAACTAAACGAAAAAGACGCCTTTGGGAGGGGGGGGGGGGTGCGTAAATCCCCAACAAATATCGAGCAAGCAATTCACCTACGAAAACTTAAATGTTGTCTACAACTTGGGGGAACAAAACATGATTGACAGACATCAATATGATTCTGATAGTGCTTAATCTTTTTTGATATTCTCTAGTTTTTACTCTAAATGCTCTAATGCTCCAATAGTTGACCAACAAAGGACTAACGTCCGAAACATCAGTGTAGTTACAAAGGTTTTTTACAGGGTGTTCAAAGTTCCTTCTTCTTTTTTCACAAACCAATGCAGTCCCAACTAGTAAACACCAGCCACGGTTGGTGACCAAAATTTATTACTATTTAGACTTAAGTCTTTTACATTTACTTATTCATTTGTTAACGCTTTTTCAGTTCTTCTAACTACAACAAGCTTCTGGATGACAAGCTCAAAGTAGTTGAGGCGGCTGTCTTTCACCTTGAACCCAAAGTCAAGAAATCAGTCATCACCAGAGATATTAAGGTATTTATTGTGGTATATCCTTCCGAAGCACTCCTCCCCCTCCTGGGGTGCCATTGCACAGCCTAATCTTGAGAAGTCCAGCGGCGTCCTAAAACGGCCTGGGGAAGGGTAAGTGGGAAGGAGGAGAGGGMAGGGGGAAAGAGAGAGAGAGATGAAGCTCCCTCCTCCTTCCTCCCTCCCCTTCCCCCCTTTCACAATCCCCTAGAGCGCTGCTACGCAGGCTATCCCGAGACCAATGTAGATGCGATAGAGTAGCTTGTTGGTTGGGCTTATGTCTCATTCACACCAAGTGTAATACATTGTTTAAAGTGGTTTAACTAAAAACGTTTACAAGTTATCAAAAAACTCATTACAAACTTTGATGCAAAACTGTTCATAACTGTCCTTCATGTTGCACGACATAAGTTTCACATAGTTTGATTCTTGTCAAAATAAATACTCACATTTTATAGAAGCTTTAAAAACCCATATTCATTCATTATTCATTCATTTGTGGCATTCATTCATTCATTCATTTATTTATGTCTTTGTCCATTTAGGCGTTAGCAAAGGAGCGTGAAGATCTTGAATTCAAATCAATTGTAATAGTTGATCTCGGTCGTGACTTGATCAAGAACAAACAGATTGACGAGGACAAGGAGATGGTTTTCATCAAGAGAATGAATCAACTGGAGACAAAGATCAGGCTGATCATGATGTGGCCGATAAAAGAACTGAACAAGTGAGTCATCCTCTGGAGGACTGGAGGGCTGGAGGGCTGGAGGGCTGGAGGGCTGGATGGCTGGAATTGCTGGATGGCTGGAAGGATGGGTGGAGGGATGGGTGGATAGAAGCACAGAATAATGGAGAGAGGGATGGGGAAATAAAGGGTTGGAAAGATGGAAGGATTGAAGGATTAAAGGAAGGATGGAAGGATGGATGGATAACATATTCCATATTTCTCTCATCTCTTTGTCTATAACATTTCTCTAACTCGGTATTTCTTGCCTAGACTGGCCTTCTCAAGTACTTCAAACTACAGCACATATTTGAAGCACAAGTTTGATGAAGCAGAATCAGCTATGACAAACATTGAGCCACGTATCAAGAAATCCTACATGAACAATGACAACACGGTAAATGAATATTCTGATACCTATTCATTCTTATTTGAAGCCATTTCAATGTTACGGCATGTCGTACTGTGTACGTGCTGTAAGTCAGTACCGTATGTTTTACGCTCACACGAAAACCATTCTTATGGGAAGCCATTTCAATGTTGCGGCATGCCATACCGTGTACGTGCTGTAAGTCATTACCGTATGTTTCCCACTCTTATAATAACTATTCTTATGGAAAGCCATTTCAATGTTGCGGTATGTTGTACGTGCTGTAAGTCAGTACCATATGTTTCCTACCATTCTCAAAAGGTTTACGAAATCTGCCTCCCCTATTAATGATACCTATTGTATCATGGCAATAAAGGGAGAGACTCGACAAACTCTACTCACATGTGATGCCGAGTCCAGGAGTCGACCCGGTGACCTCAGAGGTGAGAGGTCAGTCAGTGTCTTAGAGCTACACCGCCCTTGATTTACCATTCTTTGTTAATCTGTAGGATTTGATTGAAGAAAGAAGTTATCTTTACCTGATGGTGCAAGGAGCTACAGGACTTGGTCACAGCATGATCGAACACAGGCTGCTTGACAGGAAGGAAAAGAAGGATTTCTTACAGCGAATGGAAAAGCTGGAGCAAAAATCAAACCTGCTGATGGCTTGGCCAATACGAATGAACAGGTAGAAAAAATTGGAAAATACCAAAAAAATTGACCTTGGGCATAAGGTTTTCCTATTTCACGTCACGTGTCATTCCCTAGAGTACCATTGCTTTGTTTAAAGGTTGTGCATGATCATGAGAAGACACATGAATGTATTTTTTTAAAGAAACAATGCAAATGAGGTGTGAGTTAATAAAGTTTTTTTTYTTTCAGAACTCCACTGGACAAATTTCTACTGAACAATTTGGAAGAGGCTGAATCTGCTATTGAAAACATTGAACCAAGAATTGAAAATGCTGATGTGTTCCATGACAATTCGGTAATTTTATCATAAAAAACTTCATGTGTAGGAGAACTCTTTTCCTATCTTGTTCTTGATCTCTTCT